CTCGTTTCCTTCTGTACGTAGAATCACTTTCTCCATACAGTAGATTGTCGTAGGGAATCACTTCTTATAAAGTCGTTTCCCACATAGACCAAAAGCAGAAGCAGCTCTATCAAATAAGGTCCAATAATATGGAGCAGATTCTTTGAGCAGTGAACAACACATGTTCAATATGAGCACAGCATAATTTTATTCTAATGGTTACTGAACATTTAGAGGAGACTGAGTGGTTTGTCTTTGTAAACTTTTCTTCTAAATGAGGGTTTTCATTGACTTTTGTATGACAAACTTGCAGAATTGGTAAGGGAGAAACAGTCCTCCACGGAACTAGTTATGCTACCCCATGTCGACGATTTGTGTGGTTGGAAGTAAGTACACTAATCTTAGATGTGCCATCCACTGCATGATCTCCACGGGCGAGAGTAGTATCGGAGTTAAGTCTGTGAATGTATAGTTGTTTTCAAGTCAAACTGTTGCAATATTATTACTGAGTTGCATGTATTATATTGACCAGTTCAACCAAAAAAATTAAACAGATAATAAAAAGTAGACATTTGATCCGCAAAAAGAAAAGGTAGACACTTCACTTTTGTACTTTAAAGCTCCTTCTCACGCGCAGGCTTTCTCGCGGCTCAAACATGGATACATGAGTTGGCTAAAAAAATTATTTAATTACGCCACCATGATTCAAACTCAAAACAATTAATTATCCTGCCATATTGAGTTCAATTTATCGACTAGGTTAATCTAAAAGTTTAGAGCCTCTTTGGTAGGCTTTTTTAGCAACCGGTTTCATCCAAGAATTCAGAGAAATGAACAAGCCATGTTTAGATATCTTCACCCTTGCCGTATGAAAAAGGAATTCTCCCCTCCAGAGGTTCTCCCACGAAGCCATCTGCTGAGTTAGGCCCAGTTTGGCGGGGCTTCTCCCACCGGCTTTAGGAGCCGTTTTCTGCCAAACGGGATAAAATGAAACGGCTTCAGGTAAGGAGCCCCTTAAAACGTGCTGAGACAAAGAAAAGATAAGGGATGGAGCCAAAAATAGTGGCTTCACCCAGCTTCACCGTGCCTACGTGGAGGCCAATGGGACCAAACCCCGGATTACCCCTGTCTAGGCTCGAGCGCGGCCACCGGAGTGCGCCGCGCGGATCGTCGAGGGCGCAGGCACCGGAGCGTACGGCCGCCGGGGTCGCGCAGGCCTGGCAGGGGATGGAGCACGGGTGCCGACCACCGGGGACGAGCAAACCCATCGGGGAAGGGGGCGCGAGCGCTAGATGCCGTGGACGAGTGTGCGCCGGGAGCCGGGGAGGTGGCGCGTCCGCTGGGGAGAGGCACGTCGCCCGCCGGGGGGATCGTAGGCCTGCCGAGAAGAGGAGCACTAGGAGGGGAGGTGGCCGCCGGGAAGAGGACCGCCGGCCGCTGGGGAGGAATGTGGCCCGCCGGGAAGAGGACCACCGATAGCTGGGGAGGAGCGCAGGCCCGCTGAAGGGCGTGAGCACCGGCGTGAAGGCGCATGACAACGAAGAAGCGATGTACGGGCAGATGAAGAAGATAAGGAAAGGGGAAAAAGGAAGGGTAGTTTAGTTTGTTCATTCGTTTTGTCTAGTATGAAGAGCTGTTTTTCCAAATGGGGTACAAAACGGCTCCGGCTCCACCGGAAGAGCTATTCGTGGAGCTGAAGCAAAAAAAACGGCTTCACTAGTGAAGTGAAGCCCCTGCCAAACAGGGCCTTAGTGTGTGTGTGGTAGAGGTTAGTCCAAAAGGCATGAAAAGTCATCGAAGTCCTCCAAGAAGCTCTATCAAATAGCACCTTAATCCAATAAGAAAATTAATATGGGCAATTGACCTATACTTCAACAGTTACTATCCTTGTAGTTTTTTGTATACATGACTAGCATCTTGAGCACAATGAATTCAATTCTATGTTGCTAAAATAAACTGCGTTGGCACTCGTGGCTCATTCCTCACGCATGGTCATACTTACCCTTACTTTTCAAGATTACACAATACAACACAGATGCTCACAACATACGCATACTCCTCGCTGTTGACGGGAACGTCGACTACCACTAAAAGCAGGAAGTCACACTACTACAAAACATAGATATTGTAACACATTCTTGTAACACATTCATCAAAGTGTTCCAAAGAAATTCCATAATAACACAAAATAATGTGTTACACACTAGGTTTGTAACACAATGCATTTGTTTTATAAAAATGTGTTACTAACAAGGATTATAGTAACACAAAATTAATGTTCCTAGTGAAATGTTACAAAAGTGGCACTATATTGTAACATATAAGTGGAACATTTAAAATATGTGATTAATATATACCTTCAGTGGCACAAAAATATGTTACAACTAAAGTGTTACAAAAAAAACAAATATATCGTTTCAACCGAGGAGGGTTGCTAGTATTAGTTGTATTGCCACACCAATTTATTCTTGGAACAAATATGGTTGTATTACCACCAATTATATATGTTGGTATATAGGAGCATATTTCATTACAAGTAATAGTTGTATTACCACACTTATTTTCACGGTTCATGTATGCTTCATGCAGTGGTGGTGCAATTGCTACGTGGTTATTGCAATAAGAATTCTGAAATGGTTGTAGTTGCATGTTCCTATTGCCACGGTTTTGTTGGGTTATAATAATCTTTAGTGGTGTTGCAATTGTTAGGTACTTATTGCAACTAGAATCCTAAATGAACGCAATATTATGTTACTATTGCCATAGTTTTTTGTGTTGCTATAGACCGATTTGTTTCGTTGTAATACAATGTTGTTGGCAACACTTTATATTTGGTGGGCCATTGAGCGTGGGTCTAAAATGACAAAATAAAAATAAAAATAGGGTGACCGCCAAGATTTGAACCGACAACCTCACCACCACCACAAAGAGATAGCAATACCCCCACTACCACTAGACCACTTGCATGTTTGTGTAAGATTTAGTATTTTATTTTATTTGTTATAGGAACCATGACTTGAGCTATCAGGACATTAATTTTGAAATTGTTCAAACAAAATCGGATATAGAAATGACCAAAACAAAAGTTATAGATCTCGATAAGTTCTACAACTTTGTTGTTGTTGACTTTTTAGGTTGAAGTCATTTAATGTCCCAAGATTCTGTTCGAAGTTTTCATATTTCAAAATTTAAATTTTGAATTGTTCAACCAAAGTCTAATGGAGAAATGACCAAAACAAAAGGTGTAGATATCAATGAGTTAAACAACTTTGTTGTTGATGATTTTTTCATTTCAAATCACTTAATGTCCCAAAACCCTGTTTGACGTTCTGATATTTTGAAATTTAAATTTCGAATTGTTCAAACAAAGTATGATGGAGAAATCACCAAAACAAAAGTTGTAGATCTCGATGAGTTGTGCAACTTTGCCATTGACGTCTTTTTCATTTGAAATTATTTACTGTCTCGAAACTATATTTGAAGTTCTTAGATTTTGAATTCTTCAAACAAACTCGATGAAGAAACAACCAAAATAAAAGCCATAGCTCTAGATGAGCTATAAAACTTGTAGTTGATGACTTTTCTATTTGAAATCATTTACTATTGCAAAAATGTACTTGAAGTTCTGATATTTTAAAATTCAAATTTATCACGGCTGAAAAAATGACAAAATCATTTAAAGTCATTTACCATCCCAAAATTCTATTTGAAGTTTTCATATTTTGAAATTCAAATTTTGCATGGCATAGAAAAAACAACAAGAAAAATAAAAATGGAGTACCCACCAAGATTTGATCCTACAACCCCAACACCACCACAAGAGAACAACAAAACCTCCACTACTGCTAGACCTCTTGCATGTTTAGAAAAAGTTTAGTGTTTTATTATATTTATTATAGGAACTATGACTTGAGCTATCAGGAAATTAACTTTGAATTGTTCAAATAAATTCGGATGGTGAAATAACCAAAACAAAAGTTATAGATCACGATGAGTTCTATAACTATTGTAGACATTTTTTTCATTTGAAATCATTTAATGACTCAAAATTCAGTATGAAGTTCTCATATATTGAAATTGAAATTTAAATTTCGAGTTGTTCAAACAAAATCTGATGGAGAAATAACCAAAACAAAAGTTATGAAGATCTCAATGAGTTTTACAACTATGCCATTGATGACTTTTCCATTTTAAATAATTTACTACCTCAAAATTCTATTTGAATTTCTTAGATTTTGAATTTCAAATTTAGCGTGATGTGGAAAAATAACAAAACATCTATTTAAAATCATTTCTTATCCCAAAATTCTATTTGAAGTTTTCATATTTTAAAATTAAAATTTTGCATAGCGTGAAAACTAATAAGAAAAATATAAATGGGGTTACCAACGAAATTTGAACCTGCAACCTCACTAAATGTCCATAGAGATAGCAACACCACCACTGCCACTAGACCACATGCATGTATGTTGATCTTAATTTATTATTTTATTTCTTAAGTCAATAGAGAATGAGAGCTTCTTATATTTTGAAATTTAAATTTTGAATTGTTAACAAAAAAAAAGTCTGATGGAGAAATGACCAAAATAAAAATTATAGATCTCCATGAGTTGTACAACTATGCCATTGACGACTTTTCCATTTAAAATCATTTACTATCCCAAAAATATATTTCAAGTTAAATTCAAATATAGCATGACATGGAAAAATGACAAGAAAAGTTCATCTCTACTATAATGGATCAATCAAAATTATACTAGGTCCCTCCGGAAAACGTCCCCCTGCTGAGAACTTTCAACCATTATGCACCCAGAAAAATGTACACAGGAATTCATCTCCATTAAAATCAAGGGTCAATAAAATACCTAAATCAAATCTGATGGCCACGATTCGATGTGGGATGCCAGGCTTCTCACGCATCCACACCCCGCACGCCGACACTGCGCACTCGCTCCTCCCCGCATCCCACACGCCCGAGTTCGATTCCTACACCCACTCGCATACTGCAGATTCCCACCGCAATGGCGATCGTGCTCTCCAAATCTGCCGTCAAATCCCACCCTAGGTCGCCCACCACAGCGCAGCCGCCACCGCTGCTGAACCCTGGCTCCAGCGCCACGTCGGCTGGCGGTGGGGCGGCACCTCAGCCGCCGTTGTCAGTCACCACCGGCGCGGTGCCATCGAAGAATGCGGCGATGGTGGAGCTCAGGTCGCGCGTGCTCACTGCGCTCGCCAAGCTCTCGGACCGCGACACGCACCACATCGCCGTCGAGGAGCTGGACCGCATCATCCGAGCACCGCCGTCGACCGACGCCGTGCCCATGCTGCTCAACGCACTAGCATCCAACTCCCCGAGGCTCGCCTCCCCAGCCAGGCGCGAGTCATTGCGCCTCCTCGCCACGATCTGCGCGTCGCATCCGGACGCGGCCGCGCCGCACCTCCACAAGGTGCTCGCCGACCTTGCGCGGCGGCTCAAGGACCCGGTGTCCGACACCTCCGTGCGCGACGCATGCCGAGACGTCGTGGGCCAGCTCGCGGTAGTGTACCTCCGCCCTCTATCGGCTTCCGGCATTGCCGAGGTGGGCAATTGCAACTGTGACACTGTTCGTGAAGCCACTGTTCGAGATGATGGGGGAGCAGAGCAAGGCAGTGCAGGGTGGGGTGGCTGCATGCTTGGCCAAAGCGGTGGAGGGGGTGGGACCTAGGCCTGGTGCCATCGGGATGTTTGGGAAGCTCGGTCCTAGGATTTGCAAGTTGCTCGGTGGGCAGGGCGTGCAAGCCAAGGCGGCATTGCTCGGCGTCATGGGAAGTTTGGTTCAGGTGGGTGCTCCCTTTCTAAATTTTGTTGTGCGCGCCTTCTGTTCCATAATTTTACTCAAGAAATACCAGATATTAGAAGGCCTTGCTAATTATTGGTCATGTCGTATTTTAGGCAAGAGTTTATCCTAGACTGGTGGCACGGGTTATTTTGAAGTCTCAAGTTCTTAGTTTGAATCATAATATTGTTTTGGTTGTGGGCTGTGCAGTTCGTGCTAACTTTATTAGGTATGAAAAATACATGCAACGTTTTGGTCTAGGGAGCAGGTCAAGAATTTGTTATTTGGTAGTAATAGATTACTTGCAGTGTGGGGCTATGAATGTTATCCTCTACTCAGGTTAGGGCTTCCAGCAGGTTCACTTCTTCTTTGTGGTACTGTGGCTTCTGTATCTCACAGAAAAGTGTAGGGTTGACACTTGTAAGTTTTCAAACTGCTGGTGAATCATTACTGAGAATGGCAAATGGAGACAGGATTTTAAAGCATAAGCACTGTGATCACAATGTGACTCCTGATAGAGTGAATGTAGAAGTTCAACCGACTTGATGGACAATGGAAAATATCATATTGTTGTGATTTTGTGAGGTCCATAAATAGGAGCTTAATTGACCTTGTATTGACATCTCTCCCTCTCTTTATAGTTTCACCATGGATTATGAGACATAGAGATATGACATAGAGTTCAATTAAAATGTTTTTTCCTGATTTATTATTTCAGGTATTATTTCAGAAGGGTGGGCCTGGTGCAAGCAGTAGAGTCTTACCGCCTGTGACCGGAAGGTCCTGGGTTCGAGTCGCGGTCTCCTCGCATTGCACAGGCGAGGGTAAGGCTTGCCACTAACACCCTTCCCCAGACCCCACATAGAGCGGGAGCTCTCTGCACTAGGTACGCCCATCTGAGACAGTAGAAGACAGTCATTTTATCTATCCTCTTACTTGTTGGCAGTGTGAGCCATGCTGGATGGTGGTCGTGCATTAGTCTTTTGATTTACAGTATTGGATCGTGTTTGAATGTTTTAGATATTTTCTAATCTTTTTTAGACTTTGATTTACAAGTAGCATGTAGCTTGCTAGGTTGGACTGTACTTGTGTCTTTTGTTTTTATTATTATTACATTTACATGATTCATCTGTATTACGAATTACGATAACATGGATCATGAGTATAAGGTTAAGGTTCCAGCTCAGCTCTTTGAGTTTTGTTGGTTATATTCATATAAGATTTCAGTGCTAAGCCTATAGGAGCTTTAAGTAGTTTTGTCATGATTCAGGAGCCTTATGTAGTTTTATCATGACACCACCATAGCGTTAGCACGGGCAATATACTATTGTGGAAAAGTTGAATTATGGAAAAAGTTCATTGTTAGGTCATGTGCATCCCCAAGATAAAGCCGTGGCGTTAGCACGGGCATTATACTAGTTTGAAGTCATTTACTATCTTAATATTATATTTAAAGTTTTTATATATTTTAAAAATTAAATTTAGCATGGTGTGAAAAAATGACAAGAAAAATAAAAATAAGGTGAACACCACAAGATTTGAACTAGCAGCCTCAACCAATCTCTACGGGAACAACAACGCCTCCACTCCCACTAGACCACTTACATGTTTGTTGGTCTTTATTGGTCGATTTATTTCTTAAGTGAATGGAGATGAGAGCTTGTCATATTTTGAAATTCAAAATTTAAATTTTCAAACCAACTCAAATAAAGAAACGACCAAAACTAAAGTTGTAGATCTGGACAAGTTCTAAAATTTGTAGTTAACGGCTTTTCCATTTGGAATCATTACTGCCCCAAAATTTTGTTTGAAATTCTCATAATTTGAAATTTAAAATTTCTAATAGTTCAAATGAACTCGTATGAGGAAACAACTAAAGCAAAAGTTGTAGTTCACAAATTTTTCATTTGAATTCAGTTATGATCCTAAAATTATGTCTAAAGTTCTCATATATTGAAATTCAGATGTAATAATATATAACTTTGTTAGAAAAATGTACAAACTTGCATGACTATATGTTTGCACTGTTCACAGAGGCAGAGAAGCAGCAGTCGGCAATGGATGACGTCAAGCGAGCGCACACCTCACTACAGTTTGGCTCGATAGCGGAGCGTGCGTGTGACACACCCTTAGCCTCTCTCGTCTTTTACACCTATTTAAGTTGAGTCAACGTTTAATCAAAATATCATACAAAACTAAAACTATATTGCACCTAGCATTTAACTAGTATATTGCCCGTGCTAACGCTATGATGATATTTAAGACAACACAAATTAAACACCAAAATGATGTATATGCTTTGGTGATTTTAAAAAATCATCGATCACATATTATATATTAGAATAAAAAACATGATTCTGATGACAACCTGACATACCAAATAAAGATTACTTGCGTGACAACAATGATATCAGAGTGCGGTGGTACTCTCTAATTACATTCCTATATTTTTCCTTTATAAACAATTACATTGCAACTCCACTAATTTAAAACCACCACGAGCACTTTGATCTTCTTGTTGCACTTTATCTTTTATCTTCATTTTCGTCTCATCAGTAACTTTCATGCTTATTGTTCCGAAAAGACATAGAAATTAAAGCTACATACATTAGTGCAGACCCTAGAAAATAGAAACTTATTGTATATCCTCGACTCCTCGTCGTGATAATACAGGATGGTAGGAGGAACTTATTGTATATGCCATTTAGTTTTGTTTCACGTTTCATATAATTTTATTAATATTAAGAAAAAAAAGGCCTTAAATACTCCTACAGTTCTGCTTCACAGGGCTGATAAAGTGACATAGTTCCACTTCATAGTGCTTATAAACACTTAAAAGCTATCAAAAGGAGAGATTAAATCAAGGGGTAGAGAACATTGATTACCTGTCTCACTTTCAGTAAACATGTTTGAAACTGCAGTATCATCTAGACAGTAGGGTTATTATCTCATAGATTAAACTGTAACAGTGCAGCAGTAAGCCATGTAGACTGTTTTTTTTTTGTCTTTATTTGTTTTTCAGTCTCAGAGCGTATTTCCTGTGCATTCCTAAGTTTGTGTATGCCCACTCAGCAGCCATGAAATTTGATAAAAAGATAGAAAGAGAAGGAAACAGCAAAAAAAACACTGAGTATAAATATCAAATAATGTCATATACTGCTAACTCATTAGTAAATAAAATAAAATATTATGCTCGGCAAGAGTATTCAATAGGAATGATTCTATATCTTGCACTTCAGCAAAGCTTATCAGCCATAGCATAAAAAGATTTGCAGCTTAAGACGGAAGAAAGCATACATGTATCTTTGCCAGTAATGCATCTGCAGTCCTTGAGCCAGCTGAGCAATCTTGGCCAGCAGATTTTTCCAGTCCTTGAGCCGACAATGGCAGAACCACATCTGCAGTTGCCTATCCATGAGCACCAACTGCACGGACAGCTCGACCTGCATCATCTCGTTTGGATATGAATCCTCTGCACCAACACAATGCAAACAAAATCCCCATGAAAACCACATATCGATCAAATACTCGCAAAACAAACCCGAAACATTCCGAATGATCAGTAGTGTATTCCGAATGATCAAATACTTTGTTAACCGACTCTGTCAAAGCACTGTAAACATGTGTCTGAGTGGTCTTACAATTGCGATATTCAAGTTCACATAACTGACAAAAACATATTTTGAACTATGTTAAAAGACCCAGAAACAATTAGAAGAGAAAGTAAACCTTTTCATGCAACTGCTCTGTTATTGCAACTTTATAATATGGAAGATTCTCTAAGAAAAGTAAACCTGCAATTAATTTTAGTGCCCTCTCCACCCTATCAGATAATTATTGCGTCAGAGAACCATTCATTCAACACAAGCAACCAATGTTTTTCTATGATGGGCAAATAGTATGTCATGAAATATGAGCACATTAATTGCTTAACTCATGGAAGGAAAATAAAATGAGGTTGACTCAAACCTGTTGCTGCCTCTTGTATCCTTGTGCCTGCAGCCACCATCCATGCGTACGTGTAGTGCGTACGTGTAGTCTCCCTTGTAGTGCCGAAATTGAATACAGCACATTGGCATCATCAACATGCTAAAATCGTATGAAGAAGCCCAACAACCCTAACCCAAATGGGCATAACAGCAATCTATATCCAAACAACCTGATTGTACAGGCCTGCAGCTGGTTCCAGCGCGGGACCCTTTCCCAACCTTAACGCAATGAGAAAATTAAAAAAAATGAAATTGAATATATCAATCAATAATCAAACATATGGAATCATCTAACCTGAGCAGTGACAAGTACATGAACCTTACAAAATATATGCTTTAAAAAGATTCATCTCAGTCCATAGCTTCTTTTCACCAGTTTTGTACAGATATGAGGGGCTTGAATTTACATAGCAGAGAAACAGTGTATCATCATACAGACGGTCGAAAGCCTTTCCCACGAGTAGGCAGTAGCAAACGAATTATTTGCATCTTCCATCACTGAGAAATCAATACCGAAATTAATGAAATAAATAAAAAAATAAAACAAGATCACAAGTCAATTGGAAAGGGACAAAAAAAGAGAAGCCTGGCTGGCTGCGCGCTGGATCAACTTCGGTGGTGGACGTATAGGGACAGACCGTAGGTGGGGGACGTACTGAGCCGGACCGCCATCGCCAAAACTGCGTACGCCTCCTCCTAGGGCCATGGACCGCCACCACCGTCTGTCGCAGCTCTCGGTGGGGTAGGGGCGCCGCGTACGATGGAGCAGAGATGGGAGGATCACTGGCGCTGGTGCGGGTGACGGCGAGGCTGCGGGTGCCGGCGCCGGTGGCGCGTGGCCAGGGCCGTGGCAGCCCACGTCGGGGAAGGATCCCACGCGGGAAGTGATACCGGCGGCAT